ATTGCTCTTTCTTCAAAATATCCCTGGAACTATTTTTGACTTGCCTCCGAACAAGTTAGGGCCCTAAGCTATAGATTGTGTTGTCTGTATGCAAATCCAGCACTGGTCCTATCCCAGCCACCAAGTAAGAAGTTGCGTTCTATAACTTGACAACAAGAAACGTATCTAATTTTACGACATTGGAATGATGACAGACTCTAGAATTTATTGGCTTTTGTGTTTCCGTGCGCGTGCGCAAAGCTTCAATTACTCCATCATAATGGTGAGTGGATCGAAACAAAGCGAAAGACCATATGAAGCGCGGGCAGAGAGGTCATCATCATCATCATCATCATCAAACTCCATTTGACTGAGGGCTTGAGAGGCTCATATCCTCTCTTGCAAAAGCCCTGGACAGAAACCCTGCTGTCTTGCGTAGTGCATACATGTCACCATACAGGTCGAGCGGTAAAATGCTTGGCTTCCGAACCGCGTCCTGAGTTCGAATCCTAGTGATGACTGGGATTTTTAATTTTGGGATCTTTGAGCTCCGCTAGGTTCAGCCAGCTTTAATGGGTACCTGACGTTAGTTGGGGAAAGTAAAGGCGGTTGGTTGTTGTGCTGGCCACATGACATCGTCGTTAACCGTTGGCGATAGAAACAGATGACCTTTAACCATCTGCCCTATAGGTCGCAAGGTCGAAAGGGGAACTTTTCTTTAAAAAAACAACAACAAAATATTATTTGCAAGGGCGTATCTAGAACCTTTAAAAGGGGTGGGGAAATTTTTTCAGTGAAGACAACTTCAACTTTGATTCACAAATTTAGAATGGAATTGTATAAAGTAAATCAAGTTTTAAAAAATGTCATCAAGCCGTGTCTTGGACACACGAAATCTAGATGGTAAAAAAAAATAAAGATTCGAATCCCTTCTGTCTAATGGCTTTCACCTTCGGACACTGGTCATCCTGGTGCAATGAGTGCTGACCAAAGTGGGTAAACACAATGGTTTATGGTCCATGCACTGGAGGACGAAGCTTCTCATTATTTGACGCCTACTCGGTGTCTCAAGCATCTTTCCCCACAGCCCAGCATTTAGAGACTTCCTTTATTGTTGGTCGCTGACAGCATCTTCTCCACAGCCTAGCATTAAGAGACTTGGTTAATTGTTGGTCGCTGACAGCTAATAGGAATATAATGTCTGCCAAGTGCCCATCGCCAATTTTCAAAGCAGTGACTCGAACGAACTCGGGATGCTGAGTTTATCATGTTCCCAACATCTTTCCTTTGATTTCTTCTAGAAGCAAACGTAAAACATTCACCAGTAATAGTGACAAACAGGAAGTTGTTATATGTTTGTACATGGGACTGGTAGATGGCGCTCACAGTATGGTTGTAATGGTCGATCTCCAAAGATCGTAAGGCCTGAAAGAGGTACCTTTACTTTTACTTGAGTATATACACACACACACGCTTTAATTTGTAAATATAATGTCAATGTAGACCACTTATATATCACGTAGTTACTAATTTTGTTAGCGAGATAGAGAGAGAGAGAGAAATTGATAAGGAGTTATGGAAAGAGAGAGAGAGAAATTGATAAGGAGTCATGGAAAGAGAGAGAGAGAGAGAGAGAGAAATTGAGAAGGAGTCAGGGAAAGAGAGAGAGAGAGGGAGAAATTGAGAAGGAGTCAGGGAAAGAGAGAGAGGGAGAGAGAGAGAAATTGAGAAGGAGTCAGGGAAAGAGAGAGAGAGAGAGAGAGAGAAATTGAGAAGGAGTCAGGGAAAGAGAGAGAGAGAGGGAGAAATTGAGAAGGAGTCAGGGAAAGAGAGAGAGGGAGAGAGAGAGAAATTGAGAAGGAGTCAGGGAAAGAGAGAGAGAGAGAGAGATGAAAGGAAAGAGGAGGTGTAAAAGAAATGTGTAAAAAAAAAGGGAGGGGGGTAGGACCAGGAGAAAGTTCTCTTAACATCTTCGCCTTAAACTTCATCTGCTGAAAGCGCGCCCAGTAATCGGATCTGACTCCAGCTCCCTACGTCAAAGGTCAACTCTTGGCTTCATAAGCTCCTTAACTTGGGCATATATTGACAACAGAAGTATACACCACGAGCAAAACACAAGCACACATTGGTATAAACACATACACTTTTTACAAAAATACATAGGTCCCCTCTATGTATACATTTATATCAAGGCTACACAATTATTTTTTTTTTTGCTAATGCAGCACTTTGAAGATTAACCTTTGTCTTAAGAAGGTCAAGAACAAGATGACCCACAAATGTGCCCCTCCCCGGGGAGGTCTTAGAGGGATTAGGCACGCTGGACCACAAGCTTCATCCGTTTTCCACCATATCCGCCCCTGATGACAGGCGAATCTGTAGAAACGCGCTAGAGTGCATTGCGCTAGGACTTCCGTGAGCTTTAGCCAATGAAAAGTGAACTTTAGTTTTATGAATGGGAAGCAGAAGTCTCTTGGTCATTGAATGAACTGATGCATAATACATCTACACGGTGCACTGAAATAAAGAGTACACTACAAGAACAGAAAAAAAAATGTTTTCAAATGTGTACATGTATTTATTATCTCAACATATGATTGTTTGATTCAAACAAATGAAAGTACGGTATAGTAAAGTACTTTTCCTCTAATGTTGAGGATTTTCCCGAAAGAGTTCCGTGAGGGGGCGCTAAATTAAACCATGATTGAACTTCAATGTTGCCAACTAAATAAAAACTACAACCGGAAGAGCTTAGAAATTGTGACTCTGCGCATGCTCTGCATTGCTTAAAAGTGCACAACTATTCTAGTATATCTTTTAAAAAAATATAGTTTATCAACACGCCCTTTATTATGTACACCGGAAAAACCAAAAAGATTACTATTTATACTTTTTTACGCCATAGATGAAAGTCTCTCATAAAAAGTAAAGTAAACTTGCCTGCCTATGGATTAGATAATAAATGACCTATCTACTGATGTGAGTATCATGTGACCAAATGTAAACGAGGACATCATGTAGTCAGCACAACTAGAAGCAGACGTTATATCCCCCCAAACTCATGTCAGGGCACACATTAAAGCAGAGTGGCTTCAGAAGCGCCCTGAAATCCTCTCACTAGGATGTGAACTCAAACAATTACTTGGTTCTTATCTTATCTTATAAAATACAGACGTTATTTCAAAAAAAAAAAAAAGATGATGATTAGGTTGTACGCATGTTCCTAGGTTAATCTAGTTATGCATGTTAATCAATGTCAAATTCTGCCAAGTCACTGGTTTTCCTGGCTGACTCAGGCAACCCATTCCATGGTCTAATAGCACTAGGGAAGAAGGAACATTTGTATAAATTTGTCCAAGCATATGGAACAAGGAGTGTGCCTTTACTTTTGTGTCTTTCTGAGTATCTTATAAAGTTTTGTTTTTGTATTTGAAGATTATGGTTTAATGTTTTACTTTTAAGTCTTCTATCCTGAAGGCTTTCTAAATTTAATGATTTTTACATTAGAACTAAAACAGAAAGATTTAAAAACTTCTTCATCCCACTGTCGGTCAGAGTGTTACAAGATCATATCTCATCATCGAGAAGTTCATATAAGTGTAATTCATAAAGCGCTGGTTGTGAGGGTGTACGTGTTTCGTGTGTGAATGTTGTTCGTATTTGCATCTATTATTTTATTGTTGCAGTAGTTACGCTGAGGTTGTCAATTGTAGTCAAACTGAATTTCCATTTGATTAGATCAATAAAAATTATTTTATCTTATCTTATCTTATCTTAAAGGTGTTACTCTAATCAAATGTGAATATTCGTTTGTTATGAATCCTACTTCTCTATTGTGCGTCTGTTCCAATTTCTTAATGTTTTCTGAGTTGAGGGTTCCCAACAGAGGATGGACCTCTGGCCCATCACGTTTATTCTTTAACATTGTTCTTGCTGAGACACAAAAGCAGAATCTTAAAAAAACAACAACAAAGAACATTGTTAAAAGGTCACTCTTCTTACATTTAGATCTATGTAACTGACTGCCGAATAAGATATTAAGTACGTGGCTTGCTTCAGTGTACTCCGGCCAAGGGAGACAAACATGAAATACGGTAGAACAAAAGCGTTTTACATTTTCTGTTCAACTCCTGCTATTAGCTCCCCTATCCTCATGGTCTAAGGAAGATGATAAAAGGCTGGAAGTCGGTAAGAAGACTCATGTCAAAAACTCAAAGCAAAACATGAGCTTTTTATTTCTTTGAGGCCAAACGTGCACAGTTTGAAGTATAACTGGTTAGTGGATACAGTGTCGTGCTAATAACATGGATGTCCAGGGATCGATCCCTAGCTCGCCAATTTTTTATATCTCATTATTTTAATATTAATCATTGAAACAAAATTATTGGATCTGAACATTATCCATTATTATTAGCGTACGGCCCTTTCTGTTCTTTTGAATACATCAGCGGTGTGGAAAGGGGAAGGGCAAACTGCGGTGTGGGAGACATCGTTCCAACCAGAGCTAATGCCCAAGCATTTTCTAGGCTCCATGAGAGGATCCATCGTCGTTTCCCGATTATATGTTGAGATAGTAAATACATCTACTTATTTGAAAACAAGTTCCATTACCTCACTTTCCTTCCATTGGTTTGTCTGGATGAGTTCTACGACATTGTCAATATGTCGCCATCCCGCAGTGAATCTCTATACTATAGGCAGGGCTGACAATTACATTTTAAATGTTGATGATACAGGGGCGTGACTGGCACTCTTTAACAAGAACACATAATTATACAGACCTTTCGATCCATAGCCGCAGTAAACCAGGCTGTCAACAGATTCGATCAACCGTTTTTACTTTCCTCAACTAATGTCAAGAACTCATAGGAATCTGAATCATCCACCCCCCCCCCCCCCAATCAACACCCAAACTTCCCCACTACCAATAAAACCAAAAAAAAAAAACGAACAACAAAGAATAACAACATAGTAACAACATACGACAAAAAAAAAAAAAGGAATGATAACAACAAAGTTGCATAGAATAAAACTGTTTTAAATCACGTTGTCAGAGAAATCTGGCAAAAAAGGAAATAAACATTTTAAATGCAAATATCATGTTTCCTTCAGTTGTTACGAACTTCATTTACAAAGATCATAAAAAAAATGAACGTACAAAAAACAAATATGAAATGTCATCATGATTTGTAAGTATTTTACAGTACGGACCATGCGTGAGGGGATCACAAAGTGGAATTCAACATTCAATGCAGCTTGAGTATTAAGGACATACGTGAAAGACATAGAACACAGTTTAATATAAACTGCTGCCCTGCATAATAAAAAATATCTTATAATTTATAATCTCACATAAATCTTAGTGTCTCAAACCAAACACACACTAATTCGTATTGAGTTACTTTCTCAATGCACAGAAAACTTCTGGTTTACACATCTCGAGTTCTCAGACTTTTCTTTTCTCTCTCTCTCTCTCTCTCTCTCTCTCTCTCTCTTTCTCTCATTCTCTTCTTCTCTCTCACTTCTTTCTGAATCTTTTATCCATTTGCATAAAGTTCATATATTACTCAATGTTATCTGTTGTTGCTTTTTTTCTCATTATCACTGAGAATCTTAAAAAAATGTTTTTATTTAGTGTTTTTGTTGAATTGTACAGCATTAAAGTGAAACTTGAGGCTTGCTTCTGGTTATGTTCATATGGAAATAAAACTCGGAGACATTTCTTCGTTGGAACAATGTGGAAGCAGGACATTTGATGACAGGTTCATTGGATCACTGCAAGTTTGGAACGCTGGTGAGTCATTTGGATATAAAAACATTTGATGACAGGTTCATTTGATCACTGCAAGTTTGGAACTCTTGTGAGTCATTTGAATATAAAAACTTTTGATGGCAAGAATATTTGATGTATTAAGAAAGTGAGTCGTTAGGCTATTTCACTAGTGAAACAGTGAGATTTGGTCTTTGGGAATGTCGTCATGAAATCGTGCACTTATTAGGACCCTGATAGTTCCCTAAACGTTTAGTCAACAGCTCTTGTCTTGACTGGAGATTTTCCAATGTTTGGACAATGAATTGACCAGTGAGTTTTTCGGGTATTATAGCAAATCTGAACGTCTTTTACTCTTGTGGCTTAACAAAAGTCGAAATCAGGAAAGTATTGTAAGCCCAGGTAGTAAGGATTGTCTGTCAGTGGGAAGATTTTGTTGGCACTTGTACAGCAGAAATGCTTATCTCAGTCCGTTGGCCATCCAGGACAGCAAAAAGGCTTATCTCAGTCCGCTGGCCATCCAGGACAGCAGAAAGGCTTATCTCAGTTTGTTGGCAATCTTGGACAACAGAAAGGCTTATCTCAGTCCGTTGATAATCTTGGACAGCAGAAAGGCTTATCTCAGTCCGTTGGCCATCCTGGACAACATCCTCATAAAGCTGTTACTTCTTTTTTTCCTTTTCAAAGCTTTGTCCAGAACCTCGCCGAACACTTCGTCAAGACCGGAGCCATTTTTAGCGGAGCACTCCATGTAGGTCACAGCGCCAATATATTTGGCCATGGACACACCTTCCTCGTACGTCACTTCCGTCTCCGGGTTTCCGTGACGCAGATCGGTTTGCGTGCCGACCAGGATGATGGGTCGCTTCCCTTTGAGGTGCTTCTTGACTTCTGGCACCCAAGAGTTGCAGACGTTGTAGAAGGACTCTCTGTCGCACACGGAGAAACACAGCAGGAGAACGTCGCTCTCTTGGTAGGCGTAACATCGAAGGTATTCATAGTCGCTCTGTAGAGGAATGAGTTCAATGGGATCTCAGCATTATCTATCTATCTATCTATCTATCTATCTATCTATCTATCTATCTATCTATCTATCTATCTATCTATCTATCTATCTATCTATCTATCTATCTATCTATCTATATCTACCTACCAACCTACCTACCTACCTACCTACCTACCTAGCTACCTACCTACCTACCTGTCTGTCTGTCTGTCTCTGTCTATCTATCTATCTATCTATCTATCTATCTATCTATCTATCTATCTATCTATCTATCTATCTATCTATCTATCTATCTATCTATCTATCTATTATTTTTGTCACGTTGTAAGTACTTCTAAGGGTAAAGAGAAATAAGTAATAAACATAACTATATTTCTATTGCTTCCTCTTGACTATCTCAAACCGGAACAAGGCAACGATATTAGATAGATACATTACTTTACCAGAAATGCCAGCTCGTTAAATTGTGTTTCAAAATACAAGTATCGTGTTTTTTTTCTATAACATTCAACAGGAGTCTATAGTGATTGATTGGTTGAATTATACATGTAATCTACTTTCGTTCACCTCACAAGGTGTTCCGTGAGTTTAAAAACATTTTAAAATAAAAAATCGGAGACTTATAAAATGACTTCTTTGACAATTAAAGAAATAGTCTAGATTCCCATAGAAATAGTCTAAATTCCCATCGAAATAGTCTAGATTCCCATAGAAATAGTCTAGATTAATAGATTCCCATCGAAAC